TACATGCCCAACACACTGAAAGTTTTTAGTTTCAATTCGTTTTTATTTGACTGTACTTTTGAAAAGGTGCGAGTTGACGAACAAAATAATAGGTAAAATCGGAATTTCCCAACTCGCGCCTGCTAGCGAGTTTGACAGGTGCGAGATGACGAACAACCCAGATTTTTACCCGACTGCGCCAGAAGGAGTGTTATGTTTTTAGAAAATTAGTAGGTATAATATACTAACGGGACTATATCCATTTCTCGTTCCCACCGCTGCAACTCCTGTGTAGCCAGGATCTACGGCTTGACCGCCAATAACCCAACCAGTGAAGGTCAAGTTTGTTCCGGGGGAAAGTTAAACTGTCACTGGACCCGCAAAGAAATTAATCAGAAGAACATAGGAGGAGTTCGAAGTTAAGGTTGTAATACAGATAGTCTACTGTAAATTAACTAGGTTAATATACTATAATGCAACTCAGAATTGAGTTACAACAATATTCGACCTTCGCGTAACCTCATAAGTACCAATTAGCTGCGATGCGCAGGCGCAAGATTTGATAAGTACGTTACGTAATCGCATGCTCAAGCGATTTGTGATTACGGTTGCTTACTGCACTGGGGCATTTTTTGTTTTCAATGAGGGTTTTCGCGATTGAAAAATCCTCCAGATGGCAATACGTAGACGCGAGGTCCAAATGCTGCATGATTGATTATTTTTGACATGACACTGACAGATATGTCAAAATCTCATTGTTTTCGTATGATATACAGGGTGTCCACTGCTGAACATAGGCCTCCCCCAATTTCCAAAATATTATGAGGTCGTCGGTCAATCACGTGGCTTCCATTCCAGAACTCCCAGTGGATCCTGGCTGAAATGATGATACAGGGTGTCCCATAATGGGTGATTCTAAGTGCTATGGGAAGTAGCTTTTGACCTACCCCTAAAAATATGAAAAAGAAATAGTACAGAAAAAAAGTACAGTTCATAATTATTTTTAGGGGTAGATCAGAGGTCAAGCTACCTCCCTTTGCAGTTTGATTTGTCCATTCTAGGACATCCTGTAGGTAAAGCATAGCGGAGAAGAATTGAAAAACATCTCTAGTCCCATCTTTCCGCTTTGGTGGAAACCGGGTCTAACACAAGGACCTGTTTAGCCCAAAGTTTAACTGGCAGATAATGCTCAATGGCAATTAGTTCCCTTTGCATTAAAGAATAAATAAATAAAACACACCACGAATGTCTAAATCAAAATGATGTGTTTTTTAATCTCGATTTTGTATTAAAAAGCCGTATTAATTGTTGCAGTATGGCCGCCAACACATCGAGGTGGCGAAGAAGATCAGCAGACTCGACAGTTCCGATGAGGATGAAGGTGCCACCACTCCGCCTGTGCCAAGCGACAAGCCACCATCAGCTCTTATCAAGGAGAACGGACTCAATGGTACGTGACTATTCCCACCTCTCTTTCCCACCGCTGCAACTCCTGTGTAGCCAGGATCTACAACTTGAACGCCAATAACCACCATAACAAGGTCAAGTTGGTCCCGGGGGAAAGTTAAAAGGACTCAATGGTACGTGACTATTCCCACCTCTCGTTCCCACCGCTGCAACTCCTGTGTAGCCAGGATCTGCAGCTTGACCGCCAATAACCCAACCAGTGAAGGTCAAGTTGGTCTCGGGGAAAAGTTAAAAGGACTCAATGGTACGTGTGAAGATGTTCTGGATTCGACTCCAGTGGCGGCAAAATGCCTGGATGATAGAGCTTGTTCTAATCTAAAGGTTATTATTTCAAACTAGCGGCCGCCCGCGACTTCGTACGCGTGGATCCCGTATTACCCCCTTCATCTATATTACGCGGTATAGATTTTTTCATACAAATGTTTTTCCCGCTAATTCCCGTTCCCGTGGGAATTTTGCAATATCCTGTTGTAACTAAGCTTTAAGTTTACTAAGGTACCTGCATGCCAAATTTCAAGCGTCTAACTTAAGCGGTTTAGATTTTTCATACAAAAGGATTTTCCCGCTAATTCCCGTTCCCGTGGGAATTACTAAGTATACTATAACCTGCCCAGGAGTATGAAGAATAATTGTACCAAGTTTCGTTAAAATCCGTCGAGTATTTTATGTTTCTATAAGGAACATACAGACAGACAGACAAAAATTTTACTGATTGCATTTTTGGCACCAGTATCGATCACTAATCACCCCCTGATAGTCATTTTTAAAAAATATATTTCATATACAGAATTGACCTCTCTACAGATTTATTATAAGTATACTCGTAGATTAGACGATTTCAGCAGGACGACGTCAGTCGTCCGTACGCAAAACGAAAACAGTTAACATGGTTTGGAAATAAACATTGTTAACAGAGTTATTAATATGCAAAGAGAATACATTGTAATTATCAATAATTGAGTTTTACTCATCGTGCATGAATAAATGAATTGTTCATTATTTAAATCATCATCACCTTCAGGTCATTTAGCAGGAGCACAATTTGTTTAACTTACCAGAGACAAATGAAGATTTGGCATACACCCCACGCTCTACCCAGACGGGTTGGGGAAGGTCTGATAATCGCATATTTTTATTTACATTCACGAAAAGTATAGAACTGGTCCTTTGCTTCGTTCGTTTCAGCCAAATGACGTCCACTGCTGGACAAAGGCCTCCCATAGGATTCCATAACGAACGGTCCTTCGCTGCCGCATTGAGGTCCTTCACCAGATCGTCAGTACACCTGGTGGGGGGCCTGCCCACGCTACGTCTTCCGCCGGCCCGTGGTCGCCACTCGAGAACTTTTCTGCCCCTCTGCCGGAATACAGCGATAAATTATAATAAATAGAAATATTACCTATTTAAAAACTTAAGTATGATTTACATTTTAAACAATAGACCATCCAAGACGGTTTATTTCAATAATAACATTGCTATTAAGTTGTTTGTCATGCCAACATACAACGTGGTTACACAACTCACATGACAAATTGTCTTATTTCCAGCACGTTTACGTAGTTACATATGATTTACATACATACATTACATACATTAAACACATGAAAAGCATTGGGGGAGGCCTATGTTCAGCAGTGGACGTCGTCGACGTAAACATTGTTCTTGAAAATATACTTAAACATACATTAAACACATGAAAAGCATTGGGGGAGGCCTATGTTCAGCAGTGGACGTCGTCGACGTAAACATTGTTCTTGAAAATATACTACCTGTTACTACGTGACGTGAGGAGATCCGTAAACGAACTAAAGTCGCTGACATAGCCCGACGGATTAGCAAGCTGAAGTGGCCAATAGGCAGGGCACATAGTACGCAGAACTGACGGCCGATGGGATGGGGCAGCAAGGTTCTGGAGTATAGGCCACGTACCGGAAAACGCAGCAGTGGACGTCCACCAATAAGATCCTACGACATCATAAAGGTAGCAGGAAGACGCTGGATGCAGACCGCTACCAACCGGGGTGATGTGGACATCATTGGGGGAGGCCTATGTTCAGAAATGGACGTCCTGTTGCTAAAATGATGATGATGATTACCTGTTACAATAGCATTAGGTTAACTTCGAACTTCTCCTATGTTCTTCTGATTAATTTCGTTGCGGGTCCAATGACAGTTAAACTTTCCCCCGGGACAAACTTGACCTTCACTGGTTGGGTTATTGGCGGTCAAGCTGTAGATCCTGGCTACACAGGAGTTGCAGCGGTGGGAACGAGAGGTGGAAATCCCGTAATCATCATTATCATCAACAGCCCTTTACAGCCCACTGCTGGACTATGAGCCTCCTCCACTTTAGTGGAGGGTTTTGCCATAATCTCCACGCTTAGCATACGGATTGGAGATCGCAATAATCCTGTAATAGCATTAGGCCCGCCATACACGGACAGCTCGAGCAGTTAGTCAGTGATCAACATACACGGACCACTTGTAGTCAAGAGTCAACAGCTTGAAGCTGCCAGTGATAACTGCTCGAGCAGTTGGTATTAACTGCTCAACAAATTACAAGCGCGTGCGCCCTGGAATGAAGAAAGTGGGCGGAGGTAACTGCGCGAGAGCTGTCGACAGCTCGAGCTGTCAGTGTATGGCTGGCGACTGCTTGACCGCACGATGAAAATTCACCGTGCTGTCGACCGCCCGAATCAGTTGCAACTGCTCGAGCGGTCCGTGTATGTTTATCATTGGCTAACTGCTCGAGCTGTCCATGTATGGCGGGCCTTAGGCTAAATTTCAAAAAGTAACTAATGGATTGTTGTTGTCTTTCCAGGTACAAAAATGACAGTAATAGAGAGAGATGAGATCCTCGGACCCTCGCCGGAGTTAAACTACAAGCGGAGCTCCAGCCAGGAGCGCGTCAACGGACACAAGCCTCAGGAGAAGGTGGGTCTTGGAGAAACCAGTTTCAGCCAAAGGACGGTCATAAAATATGAAGCACATCATCAGGTCATTTAGTCTCCACTGCAGGACAACGATCCTCTAAAGCCTTTCCCCATGTACCTATTTCCACTAAGACCGGTCCTGGGTTTTCCGCGACCTTCATTAAATGGTAGACCCACCAAGCGAGAGGCCTCCTCTCATCTTCCATGATCGCGAACTTTTCTGCCCCAAAGGCCATCAGGTGCGATTGCGGTCATATACCTGCCTTGTCTCAAAAACCTAAATCTTAGGGCATAATCTATCGTACTGGAAGAATTTAAAGCGAGCCAAGAGCGTGTCAACGGACACAAGTCCCAGGAGAAAGTGGGTCCTTGGAGCAAACCATTTCATCATCAGGTCATTCAGTCTCCACTGCAGGAACACGATTACACGACCCTCTAATTCAGCGAAGGTTGAAGTTGAGGCTCACTAGGAGAAGGTGGGTTTTGGAAGAACTTAACGCCGGGTCTCAGGAGAAACTAGTCTTGCGTTAATGTTCTATGTACCCTAGATGGGGCAGAGGGTGTACACAACAGTCATCCATCGCGTTCGGTCTTGAGCTTCGCGTTTTGCTCTCCAAATCTTGCCGATCTTCTTCGTCTCGTCTGCTACAGTGCGCCGCCAAGTTTGCTTGGGGTGACCACGTTTCCTTTTAACGAGGGGGCGGAGCCCCAGGGGAAGGTGGGTCCTGGAGGAACCAGTTTCAGCCAAAAGATGACTAAAGACTGCCAAGAATTTCCATAACGATCGTCCCTATGCTGTCAGCATGGTCTTCAGAAAACATACTCATTTTTTTCTGTGCTTTTACATCCCGTCTGGCCAACGTGGTGAGTGTAGACTGGTAAAGGACATCTGTCTGCAGTGACCTGATGATGACAAAACAAAGTTTCTTCAACTGAATGTGAACTTTTCTAAACCTTCTCTTGCTTTCTTGCGCCGCCTTCTAATCAGTAGGTATTGGCCCATTTATTATCCCAAAGCAGTAATACTGAGACGTGTAAAAGCGCATTTTAAAACCCTATTTGCAGAAAATAAATGACTTAGGCCCAGAACAGACGTTGAAACGCAACTGCAAAGAAACTGCAACTTTCTGATCATTCTGATGAATGAAACTGAAACTGAGTTTCAAACTGATCGCGTCATGTGTGGTCTCTCAACGGAGGCTATGGCAGAAACTTAGATGCAACTCAAAAGTAACTAGCAGTTGCAGTTTCGTTGCAGTTGCGTTTCACCGTCTGTTCTGGGCCTTATAGACTCCTCTACGACATCCAACCTTACGTAAACTTTATAGTTCTGCGTTCTCGCCAGGTCAACCTCGAGTTCCACCTGTCCCACTGCTTGGATCTGGTGAAGGCAGGCATGGAGTCCATCATTGAGGATCAGGTTACCTCCGTCTTCGAGGCTGAGGAGTTGAGGAGCTGGAACCTCCTCACGAGGACTAACAGGTGAGATTGTACTGTAAGCTATAGGTCTATAGTCTGGTCTGTGAGCACGTAGAATTTTGTCCAATGACCCCTAGCTACCCATCCTTATCACTCGCGCGTAATTATATTGCTGTCGCGACTGTGCGACGGGCGCCCGCAGTGAGTGTGCGAGCGCGACAGGAATATAATTACGCGCGAGCGATAAGGATGGGTAGCTTGGGGTCATTGGACAAAATTCTACGTGCTCACGGACCGGGCACTAGACAACGGATATAAACATACTTAAATACAATCTTTTTGTAAATACATATATCCTATATTATAAATGCAAAAGTTTTTAAGGATATTTATTTATTTTATTTTATTATATTATAGTTATNGGATCTACAGCTTGACCGCCATAACCCAACCAGTGAAGGTCACGTTGGTCCCGGGGGAAAGTTAAAAGATCTCAAACTTAATGGTACGTGACTATTCCCACCTCTCGTTCTCGCCGCTGTAACTCCTGTGTAGCCAGGATCTACAGCTTGACCGCCAATAACCCAACCAGTGAAGGTCAAGTTGGTCCCGGGGGAAAGTTAAAAGGACTCAATGGTACGTGCGAAAGATGTCCTGGATTCGACTCCAGTGGCGGCAAAATGCCTGGTACAGCTTGTTCTAAAGGATCGTTCAAATTAGACGATTTCAGCAGAAGATTAGTCGCCCGTACATGGTTTGGAAATTCACATTGTTAACAGTTATTTATATGCAAAAGTGTACAGTAGATAATACATCGTAATTATCAATAATTGAGTTTTACTTATCGTGCATGAATAAATGAATTGTTAATTATTTAAATCATCATCACCTTCAGGTCATTTAGCAGGAGCATAATTTGTTTAACTTAGCCTAGGCGCAGACCATCGATTTTTCGTTGGCCCATAGTTTAGTCGGACAGTTGATCAGTATGGGCATGTATGGAAGTGCGCACATTACACCGATTTGATTTGCCCGATTTTTTAAACAAATTAAAATTGGGCCCAATTATCGGCCAACTAAAAATCGGTGGTCTGCGCCTAGTCTTACCAGAGACAAATTGAAGGTTTGGCTGTCCACACTATCCAGATGGACTGGGGAAGGATAATCGCATATTTTTATTTACATTCACGGAAAGTGTAGAGCTGATCCTTTGCTTCGTTCGTTTCAGCCAAATGACGTCCATTGCTGCACAAAAAATAAAAAAAAATCAAAATCAAAAAATATATTTATTCAGTTTAGACCACAAGTGGCACTTATGAACGTCAATAGAAAATAATAAAAAAAGAAAAAGGTAGCCCTTATGGGGCACTTTACATGTCTCCTTATCTTTTGGGCCCTACCAGCGCTTCGAGACAAACATATGGCAAGTGCTGAGAAGAAACGCCGGAACAAACTCAGTCACCACTTTTGACAAAGGCCTCCCATAGGATTCCATAACGAGCGGCCCTTCGATGCTGCATTGAGGTCCTTTACCAGATCGTCAGTCCACCTAGTGGGTGGTCTGCCCACGCTACGTCTTCCGGCCCGTGGTCGCCACTCGAGAACTTTTCTGCCCCATCGGCCATCATCTCAACGAGCTATGTCATATTCTCCTCTGCCGGAATACAGCGATAAATTATAAATAGAAATATTACCTATTTAAAAACTTAAGTATGATTTACATTTTAAATAATAGACCATCCAAAGACGGTTTATTTCAATAATAACATAACATTGCTATTAAGTTGTTTGTCATGCCAACATACAACGTGGTTACACAACTCACATGACAAATTGACTTGTATTTCCAGCACGTTTACGTAGTTACATTTATGATTTGTATTCTTGTAGACTTCATAGTAACCCCACAATACATTAAACATACATTAAACACATGGAAAGCATTGGGGGAGGCCTATGTTCAGCAGTGGACGTCCTATAGCTCTGATGATGATGACATTAAACATTGTTCTTGAAAATATACTACCTGTTACTACGTGACGTGAGGAGATCCGTAAACGAACTAAAGTCGCTGACATAGCCCGACGGATTAGCAAGCTGAAGTGGCGATGGGCAGGGCACATAGTTCCCCGTTCATCAACAACCCTTTACAGCCCAGTGCTGGACTATGAGGCTCCTACACTTTAGTGGAGGGTTTTGCCATAATCTCCACGCTTAGCGATCGCAATAATCCCGTAATAGCATTAGGTAAAATTTTTAAAAGTAACTAATGGATTGTTGTTGTCTTTCCAGGTACAAAAATGACAGTAATAGAGAGGGACGAGATCCTCGGACCCTCACCGGAGTTAAACTACAAGCGGAGCTCGAGTCAGGAACGCGTCAACGGACACAAGCCTCAGGAGAAGGTAGGTTTTGGGGCCTGTTCCAATTTGATCACCTGGGTGATCAAAATCCAAGTGATCAAAGTGGAATAGACCTGTTTTGGGGCCTAATCCAATTTGATGACCTGGATTTGATCACCCAGGTGATCAAAGTAGACTCCAAGTGACACTTTGGTGTCCTTTGATCGCCCATGGATAAGAAGTCCACTTTGATCACCTAGGTAATCTGGTCTATGTGGGACCAAAGGACACCGAAGTGTCGCCTGGAGTCCTCTTTGATCACCTGGGTGATCAAATCCAGGTTTAATTAGTGGAAGATCGGTTTTGAGAGCTCATCCTCATCAGATCATTTTAGGCTCCACTCCTCTCCAATTTACCGGAGGCAAATGGAGGATTTGGTCTACACTCCCCAGTCACAGGCAGTTGGGAGTAATTTTACAAATTATTTTAATTATATTAAGAAAATAGAGGAACTTTATGCTGAATCAAACCTGGCTGGCCAGGTCCTGCACCGACTAGCCCTCTAATTGACCAAAGGCAAGTGGGGGATTTGGTCTACACTCCCCACGCTGGCCAGACGAGTTCTGAGGCTTGATGTCCGCATATTAGTCCCTTAACGTCATAGCAGACTTATCAACTCGGAAAGGGATCAACACCGTATCGCTTTCTTTTCTTTCGCGCGCGGTCAACCGCGAGGCGAGGCGTTAACTTTACGGTGCGTATAAGTGTGCGTTGCAGGAGTTTCATACAAAGAATACTGACCGCCTCGAGTTGATAGAAAGAAAGAAAGATACATTTATTACAATGGACATCACACAAATACAGGCAATTACATAGACATGACAGTGGCACATAATAATGGAAGAAGAAAAAATAAAAACAAGAGTAAACTGAGCAGTGCCACCCATTCACCAACAAGATGCCCACTGCAACGGGACCCCACTCAGCATATGCCGTGGCCCACGGTGACGAAGGCCACACGGCGCTGGTTTTCCGTGTGCCCCATGTGATACGGTTACGATCCCTTTCCGTATCTTCCCTTTAGTCGCCTCTACGACATCCGCCTTACGTAAACTTTATAGTTCTTTTGCGTTCTCGCCAGGTCAACCTGGAGTTCCATCTGTCTCACTGCTTGGATCTGGTGAAGGCAGGCATGGAGTCCATCATTGAGGATCAGGTCACCTCCGTCTTCGAGGCTGAGGAGTTGAGGAGCTGGAACCTCCTCACGAGGACTAACAGGTGAGATTGTACTGTAAGCTATAGGTCTATAGTCTGGTCTGTGAGCACGTAGAATTTTGTCCAATGACCCCTAGCTACCCATCCTTATCACTCGCGCGTAATTATATTGCTGTCGCGACTGTGCGACGGGCGCCCGCAGTGAGTGTGCGAGCGCGACAGGAATATAATTACGCGCGAGCGATAAGGATGGGTAGTTTGGGGTCATTGGACAAAATTCTACGTGCTCACGGACCGGGCACAAGACAACGGATATAAACATACTTAAATACATTTNATACAATCTTTTTGTAAATACATATATCCTATATTATAAATGCAAAAGTTTTTAAGGATATTTATTTATTTTATTTTATTATATTATAGTTATTACTACATCCTTCCAGGCAGTACGAGTTTCTAACATGGCGTCTAACCATCATATGGGCTATGGGTTTCATAGTGCGCTACTTCTTCCTGCTACCGTTGAGGATACTCATCTTTATATTCGGGGTAAGTTTGTTATATGTATAACTAAACTTCTACTACATATTGATTTTGTACTTTTGGCACTGTTGAAAAAAATTTTCGTTTTGTACCTTATAAGAATGAGATAATATTTAAAAAAAAAAAATAGGTACTAATACAAGAAGATAGGTACATAATTCATTTTGTACCTTAGCATAATGAGTTAATAATACTATTTGTAAAAAAAAAGAAATCATTAAAATATTAATTTCATTTAGTAATATTTGAAAAGTACTATTACATAATAGTCCAGTAGAATTAGCTTTTAAATCGGAAATAATTCCTACAAAAGATTTTATTGCTTTAATGGCTTCATTGGTTGCCCATTAAGACTCACCTAAGTTTTCGACTTCGACGGAGTTGTGCTTAAGTAGTGGGGGCCCCCGAAAGGGGCGATTTTTCGGTTTTCTAGTTATACCGCGTAAAGGACTTACCCTATCGAAAAGTGGTCTTCCTGATGATTGAAGGGCATTTAATTCTGCATTAAATAAGACCAAATTCATATGTTTTGAACAAACCGTTCTCGTGCAAATGTTCGGCAAAGTAGAAAATATGTGTATAATTAATGACCCTCTCCACGTCCAATGGCTCGTTACCCGCAGGCTTCCAAGTCTTGAAAAGGAGCGCCTCAACCAGTGTAACCCTATCAAGGCATACGAGCTGGATTCGCCGATCCTTGTTCGTCCCAGCCGTTCCTTAACTGCGGTTGCTGCACCTCTTCCTGGCACTCACCTGAACGACTCTGTGTTACCTACTGTGGCTGCCCCTCTTCCTTGTATCCTCCTGCACGACTACGTTGCCTAGCCGTATGCCTGGTCTAAGGTTTGACGCCAAAAATCAACAACAACAAGTTCATATTAAAACGCTGAAGAGTTTTTTGATTGTTTGTTTGAACGCGCTAATCTCAAGAATTACTAGTTTGATTGAAATAATAATGTTTGTGTTGAATAGCTCATAAATTGAGGAAGGCTATAGGATATATACAATCACTCTACGACTAATAGAGCCGAAGCAGTAAAGAAAAATGTTGCAAGCACGGAAAATAGTATTTAAACTATTTTCACGCGTGGGAAGTTGATTTTGTGGCGTCGAACCTTGGACCAGAGGCATACGGCTAGGCAACGTAGTCGTGCAGGAGGCTGCAAGGAAGAGGGACAGCCACAGTAGGTAACACAGGGTCATTCAGGAGAGTGCAAGGAAGAGGTGCACCAACCGCAGTTAAGGAACGGCTGGGACACACAAGGATAGGCGCATCAAGCTCGTAAGCCTTGATAGGGTTACACTGGTTGAGGTGGCCCTTTTCAAGACTTGGAAGCCTGTGGGTAACAAGCCATTGGACGTGGAGAGGGTAATTAATTATACGTATATTTTCTACTTTTCCGAACTTTAGCGCGGGAACGGTTTGTCCAAAACATTTGAATTTGGTCTTATTCAATGCAGGATTAAGTGCCCTTCAACCGTCATGAAGACCACTTTTCGATAGGGTAAGTCCTTTACGCGGTATAACCAGAAAACCGAAAAAACGCCCCTTTCGGGGGCCCCCACCACTTGAGTACAACTCCGTCGAAGTCGAAAACTTAGGAGAGTCTTAATGGGCAACCAATGAAGCCATTAAAGCAAAAAAATCTATTGTAGGAATTATTTCCGATTTAATCAATTTTTGTGTTTAATTCTACTGGCCTATAAAGATTATTTTCAAATTATACCTTATAATAAAGAGGTAATGTTTGAAAATCATCATTTAATTTTGTCAGAAAATATTTCGGTAATTTTGAACCACACCTGAAAAATGCAAAGGTCAAATAATTTTCTTTGCTTTGACCTTGTGGCAATATGGCCAATTTCCTCATTGTAATTATTATTTTAACCTTACATTACGAACCACAAATTAATGAAATGATCCTTTCTGTTATTTTTTTATATTTTCTCTATGTATCTTGAGTTAAAAATGTTTTTTTTCGCAATACGACACACAAATTAGGTTATTTACTTTGTTTTTTTTTTTATTTGCAATATTATTTTTCTTTTCCTGTATTTTTGTTTACGTGAAGTTTGTAAAGTAATTAAAATACTATTTTATTAATAAATCGTTCGCGTATGAAAAAATACTACAACTGAAAAAATTGGATATCAAGCCCATAGTAAAGAAATCTTGTACTATAGGCACCAGACAACTGATATAAACATGCTTATATACTTTTGTAAATAATCAAATTTATAAATCGTAAACACCCAAACAAATATTGTTTGTTTTGCGCGGGTATTGAACCCGCGACCTCTGTTGTAGCAGCAGAGGACTATCGCGATATTAATTTGAAATATAGTTCCAAAATACTGAACTGTCCTATCCATGACATTGACAGCGGGGCGCCACCGTCAATACCGGAACGCTGGTTCCGATTTTTGCCCTGTCATTGAGTTTGGTGGGACAGTTCAGCGTGGGTCATCTATATAATGATTTAGCTGGCACATTCAGCGTCGAATAGTTCGTGATACCCAAAGTAGTCAAAAAGTTCGCAACACGTCTTTGTTACAATGAGGGCTATCGTTTTTATACTTAACAGTTGGCACCCCTGGCGATTGACAAGACCTTACTCTACAGTGGCGCCATCTTGATGAGTGCAAATGCGATAGTCCTCCTACCACTTTAGCGCTCATTGGAATAAGGTTGTCTTGTCAACTTTTTGCCCACTTTGGGTGTCACGAACTATTTGACGCTGCTGTACTTAAATTATCATTATCTCTCTCTTTTGCAATATAAACACTTTACAAACTTCACAATCCTATTCTTTTTCACGTGTACTAATAATATTTTTTCCACTCCCCACTAACACTGGCAACATCGGACCAAAAACTACCAAAACCTACCAAAAACTGGCAACACCAGCTGCTGACTATGCTATCGACGACTACCCTCGTAAATTTCCTACCTGAAGGAAGGATACGGAATTTCTTCGGCAGAATGTCCTACAAGATGTACATGAGAATCTTGATAAGGAGTCTTTCATTCGTCGCTACATACCACGATATGCAAAACAGGCCGAAAGCGAACGGATTCTGTGTTGCCAATCACACGAGTGTCATCGATGTTGCCATGCTCAGCGTGAATACGTGTTTCTCTTTGGTAGTATTTTTTATTTATAAGGAGTCTGTGTCGGGTATTTGTATTTAATTTTAGCATGTCTTGTGACGTCACCGCCATCATGGGTTAATGTGGTGCATTTACAGGGACACATTGTCTGGGGTGATGTTTGACGAAATTTAGACTTTATCTGCATTTATTTAAAGTTTTTTGTTGGTAAAAGCGAAGTATTCAATGATATTTTTTTCTAATTTTCATTCAGTACATGTATTATGGTTTTTACAATTATACAATCATGGTTTGTTTAAGAACAATATCTCCATATAAAAATTTAGTTAAGTCTAATAAAAATAATTAAATTGGAATGACTTTAGAATTTATAATGCGGGTAACTAAATTATTTTTAATTGGTCATGCCTTGCAAGTGTGTATGAAATTCACATAGCTAGCTTGTACGTGCATTTAATGGGACGTGTATAAGTGTCCTAAAAAAATTATATAACAATAATATTCTCCTAAAAAGGCTGCACGCTTCATATAAGTAGAAGATGTATAAGTGCGCTTTTTAGCCTGTATACTATTATTTCCTATAGACCGCCTTAAAAATATAAATGCACTAATTTCCTTACTTACATGTATTTAGGAATAGGGATGATGACTGGGTAATGAAATCGAAATTCTATTTAGTCCGTCAGAGATAATAAAAAAAAATTGTACACATATTTTTGAATTTTTTTCATAATCGCATGATTACAGTATTTGAGTTGAAATATCGCGTGCCTGCCTTGTCTAGCATATAAAAAAACATACTCAAGCGTGACGTAACGCGCCATTTCAACTCGATGTAGCACTGTTATTATTTAATTATGAAAGAAAATAAAAAATATGAGTCTAATATTTTCTAATTATCTGTCTGACGGACAAATAATTGAAATTTTTTCATCTAGCCTATTGTATAAGTGTTCTTACAAAAGCGTATTTTTCGCAAAAATGTTACCAACAAATCCCCAACCAAAAACTCCCTATCTTTCGTCAAGCACACCCCTCATACTTCCCAATGTGTGGGCTATAGGTGTGGTGGCTGATCATAAGTACCGCGTGCATCGGTACACTCCCGGACGGACCTCTGAAGCAGAAGACCAACTATACAGTCTCCATAATGTGCTTCAACTTCCTATCGCGGTGCATATCGGCGGTGGTGACGCACCACGACGTGCACAATAAGCCGGCACGCGGAGGCATCTGCGTCGCCAACCACACGTCGCCCATCGATGCCCTCGTGCTTATGTGCGACAACTGTTACTCGCTGGTAAGTCAACAGGCTTTAGTGGACAATAAAAGTAATAAAAAGTGTGTATCCAAACTTTGGTGGACATCAAAAACTTTGGTGGACATCGAAAAACACTGGTGGACATCAAAAAGTGTCTATAAAGACTTTGGTGGACAACGTAAGTATTAAAAGTGTCTATAAAAACTTTGGTGGACATCAAAAGTGTCTATACAGACTTTAACATCAAAGGTGTCTATAGAGACTTTAGTTTACAATGAAAATCAGAAGTGTCTTTCAGGACTGTAGTTGACATCAAAAAGTGTCTTTAGATACTTTGGTGGACAACTAACATCAAAAAAGTGTCTATTGAGACTTTGGTGGCAGACAATTAGACACTGAATGGCATTTTGACAGCTCTTAAAGTGCCCCCAATCATATTTAGACACTTAGACACAGTCTAGTCTATAAACTCAAGTGTCTTAATGACCTCATCTTGTGGCGTTTATAAGCAGCGCTATAAAAGGTAAGTCACTATAGATACACACTCGCTAGCTCTGACAACACACAGCAAAAACACTCTTATATCGTCCAAGCTAAGGCACAGTCTCCATCGCGCTTCAACTTCCTCTCGCGCTGCATATCGGCGGTGGTGACGCATCACGACGTGCACAACAAGCCGGCGCGCGGAGGCATCTGCGTTGCCAACCACACGTCGCCCATCGATGCCCTCGTGCTTATGTGCGACAACTGCTACTCGCTGGTAAGTTTCTAAGTAAAACTGTGTCTATACAGGCTCTGGTGGACATCTAAAGACACTGGTGGACACCGAAAGACACTGGTGGACATCAAAAGACACTGGTGGACATCAAAAAGTGTCTATAGAGACTTTGGTGGACAACGTAAGTAATAAAAGTGTCTAAAGACACTTTGGTGGACATCAAAAAGTGTCTACAGAGACTTTAGTAGATAACTAACATCAAAAAAGTGTCTATTGATGACATCTAGATACTAAATGGCATTTTGACAGCTCTTAAAGTGCCCCCAATCATATTTAGACACTTAAATAATGCTTAGATCTCAAGTGTCTTAATGGCCCCATCTTATGACGTTCATAAGCATTTAAAGGTAAGTTACTATAGATACACAATCGCTAGCTCTGATAGCAGCGTCACAGTAAAGTCACTCAGAAGGCACAGTCTCCATCGCGCTCCAACGTAGGTAAGTCGCTATAGATACACACTCGCTAGCTCTGACAGCAGCGTCACAGCAAAGTCACTCTTAAACCGCCCGCGCTAAGGCACAGTCTCCATCGCGCTTCAACTTCCTATCGCGGTGCATATCGGCGGTGGTGACGCATCATGACGTGCACAACAAGCCGGCGCGCGGAGGCATCTGTGTCGCCAACCACACGTCGCCCATCGATGCCTTCGTGCTTATGTGCGACAATTGCTACTCGCTGGTAAGTTTAGTGGACAACTGCTATCCAAAAAGTGTCTATACAGGCTTTGGTGGACATCGACAGACACTGGTGGACATTGGTGGACATCGAAAGACACTTTGGTGGACATCAAAAAGTGCCTAAGAGACTGGTGGACAACGTAAGTATTAAAAGTGTCTATAAAAATTTTAGTTGACAACAAAACTCCAAAAAGTGTCTATTGATGACGTAAAATCTTCACCCCAGTGGACATCTAGACACTAAATTGCATTTTGACAGTTCTTAAAGTGTCTACAATCATATTTAGACACTTAGATATTACCCAAATAGTCGCAGTGTCATCATCTCAAGTGTCTTAATGGCCTCATCTTGTGGCGTTCATAAGCAGCGCTATAAAAGGTAAGTCACTATAGATACACTCTCGCTAGCTCTGACAGCAGCGTCACAGCAAAGTCACTCTTAAACCGCCTAGTGCTTAAAAAAGTAAGTCACTATAGATACACACTCGCTAGCTCTGACAGCAGCGACACAGCAAAGTCACTCTTATACCGCCCGCACTAAGGCACAGTCTCCATCGCGCTCCAACGTAGGTAAGTCGCTATAGATACACACTCGCTAGCTCTGACAGCAAAGTCACTCTTAAAACACTCGCGCTAAGGCACAGTCTCCATCGCGTTCCAACGTAGGTAAGTCGCTATAGATACACACTCGCTAGCTCTAACAGCAGCGTCACAGCAAAGTCACTCATAAACCGCCCGCGCTAAAGCACGGTTTCCATAATGTGCTTCAACTTCCTATCGCGCTGCATATCGGCGGTGGTGACGCACCACGACGTCCACAANAATTGGTCTTGCCCTGCAAGTGTGTATGGAATTCACATAGCTAGCTTGCACGTGCATTTTATGGGACGTATAAGTATCCTAAAAAAATTATATAACAATAATTATCTCCTAAAAAGGCTGCACGCTTCATATACTTGGATGATGTATAAGTGCGTTTTTTAGCCTGTATACTATTATTTCCTATAGACCGCCTTAAAAATATAAATACACTAATTTCCTTACTTACATGTATTTAGGAATAGGGATGATGACTGGGTAATGAAATCGAAATTCTATTTAGTCCGTCAGAGATAATAAAAAAAAATTGTACACATATTTTTGAATTTTTTTCATAATCGCATGATTACAGTATTATATTGAGTTGAAATGTCGCGTGACGTCACTTTTGAGTAAAATACCTGCCTTGTCTAGCATATAAAAAAAACCTACTCAAGCGTGACGTAACGCGCCATTTCAACTCGATGTAGCACTGTTATTATTTAATTATGAAAGAAAATAAAAAATATGAGTCTAATATTTTCTAATTATCTGTCTGACGGACAAATAATTGAAATTTTGTCATCTAGTCTATGTTCTTACAAAAGCGTTTTTTTCGCAAAAATGTTACCAACAAATCCCTAACTAAAAACTTCCAACTATCTTTCGTCAACCACACCCCTCATACTTCCCAATGTGTGGGCTATAGGTGTGGTGGCTGATCATAAGCACCGCGTGTATCGGCACGCTCCCGGACGGACCTCTGAAGCAGAAGACCAACTATACAGTCTCCATAATGTGCTTCAACTTCCTATCGCGGTGCATATCGGCGGTGGTGACGCACCACGACGTCCACAACAAGCCGGCGCGCGGAGGCATATGCGTTGCCAACCACACGTCGCCCATCGACGCGCTGGTGCTTATGTGCGACAATTGTTACTCGCTGGTAAGTTTCGTGGACAACTGTTATCCAAAAAGTGTCTATACAGGCTCTGGTGGACATCAAAAACTTTGGTGGACACCGAAAGACACTTTGGTGGACATCGAAAGACACTGGTGGACTTCGAAAGACACTTTGGTGGACATCCAAAGACACTTTGGTAGACATCAAAAAGTGTGTATAGAGACTTTGGTGGACAACGTAAGTAATTAAGTGTCTATAAAAACTGGTGGACAACATACAGACTTTGGTAGACATCAAAAGTGTCAATAGAGACTTTGGTGAACAACGTAGGTAAGTAATAAAAGTGTCTATGAAGACTAGTGAACATCAAAAAGTGTCTATCAATGACGCAATGAGGGTTTTCGCCATTAAAAAATCCGCCAGATGGCAATACGTAGACGCGAGGTCCAAATGCTGCATGATTGGTTATTTTTGACATGACATTGACAGATATGTCAAAATCCACCAATCATGCAGCATTTGGACCTCGCGTCGATTTTTCAATCGCGAAAACCCTCATTGGCACTTCAGTGGACATCTAGATCAGCGTTGCCAGACGTCCCGATTTTGGCGGGACGTCCCGATTTTTAAATCAAAATTAAATATCCCGCGCGGGACAGGCTCGGTCCCGCTTTTCGGAGAGACTCTCACTTCACCAGACTGTTGTTTGAAACGCCATACTTATTATTCTAAAGAATAAAACATTTTTTTTTAATTTCGATTTTTCTTTTTTTTTTCTTTTTTATTCAAAAGACGAATTTAACGATAGATTAAATCTGATTTAGAATATTTTTTTTTGTTAAAATACATTTTCTATGGCTACTTTTGCTATCTATTGTCACGTAAACGTAATTTTAAGTCAAATAAAAAGATAAATATTTGAAAACCTTTGATTTTATACGTTTTTTTACTATGTCCCGCTTCTGACGGAAGAATCCCGCTATTTTCACTCAAAAAGTACCAAAGTCCCGACTTGGCGAAAAAAAAAACTGGCAACGCTGATCTAGATACTGAATGGCATTTTGACAGCTCTAAAAGTGCCTACAATTTTATTTAGACACTTTCATATTAGTTTTTAACTATTCGTCAACGATTACATAACAATCTCCAACGCAGTATCGGCAGCAGCTAAATCAAGGCTGCAAAGGTAAGTGAACGTTATTTTGCTGGGCATAAAGCTGATTTTAAACTGGTATGTGTCGGTCTAGTGCATGTTGGGTTTATTATAAGACTGAAAACATTATTGGGTAGTTAACACCAACCAATGAATAATAATAATAACATTAAGGCCCGATTCGACCAAACTTTTATCCGAGAATAACTCCTGGTATAACTGGCACATTGACAGTTTCAGCAGAGTAAATACAAATGAGTAGGTCATCTTCATAGAAACGCACCGAGCGCGGTTTGTATGTAAGCGCGTCAATACGTATGCGGCGCGCACGCACACACTGACAAAATGTGCGTGGATTAGCGAGGAGCTGCCCCGAATTTTGTCAGTGTGTGCGTGCGCGCCGCATACGTATTGACGCGCTCACATACAAACCGCGCTCGGTGCGTTTCTATGAAGATGACCTACTCATTTGTATTTACTCTGGCTTCAGTATGGAAAATATGTCAAAATGACAAGTTTATTCTGAGATTAATATTTACTCTTGTTGGGTCGAATCCACCTTAATAATAATAACTAATCAACATTTAGAACTTAGCGCATCTAAACAAACATAACTAGGTTAATAAATCTTAATGTAATTAATTTATTTAACCTTAACTTCTTGGTGGTGTCAACTACTCAATTTATATTCATAGATGTACATAATGTACTTTATTCGAGGTGAATTTATATTATTTTGATCCCAATTTTAAACTTCTCTCGTATACAGTTTTTGACATTAATAAATTATACTTTTCAGATGTTTTTCTTTATAACAAACTTAATTGCAATATGATTATCTTTTTATTTCATCAATAAAAAACTATGTAGTCTTAAAAATACTAAATTTTCTGTTTCATTAAAACTTTTTTCTTTTATAAAACAAATCAGAATTTTTTAAATAATCTTTTTCATACCCCATCTTATATTATCTCAAGCTTTATTTAGGCAGTATGTGGCGTCTTCAAACATAAGAAAACCAACGTACCATTTCTGGCCATTTATTGGGAAATTTGTGACGTCTTAGTTAAAGAATCCATTGATCACACACTTGGTGCAATAACGTCATAAGTCCAAAAATTTATTTTTTGACTTCTGACGTTATTGCACTGTGTGATATGACAGATTTCGGGCAATATGTGACGTCAAATATTGCAGATCGGGCAAAGGCACGGCGGTTTCCTGGGTCTGCTACAGAGGGCGCTAGCGCGCGCCTCGCCTCATATCTGGTTTGAGCGGTCCGAGGTGAAGGATAGGCACGCTGTTGCTAAGAGGTGAGTTTTGAGTGGTACAGAGTCGGCTAGATAGTTCTTGATACCCAGTGACCAACAAGTTGACAACACAACCTTATTACTGTTGTAACAAAGACATGTTGCGAACTTATTGGCTACTTTGGGTGTCACGTACTTCTTATCGTGTCGACAAAAAACCTTATACAGTGTCAGCACAAAACTCCGCTACAAGAGTGGCGTTATCAGTAGCATTAATTAAATCTTCCATCATGTGCTTCATCGACTGGGGAACAAAATCGCACTTTCACTCTAAGTTTGCCGACGTTTGTGGCGAGCTTTTCACAATAAACAAAAACAAACATTATTATTTTTTTGTACCACTGCTGCAAGGGCTATAATGATCCTGCATTTGTCCCACAGGCTCAAAGAGCACATATCCGTCGCGGACAACCCTCCCATCCTTATCTTCCCGGAGGGGACTTGCATCAACAACACCTCAGTCATGCAGTTCAAGAAAGGCAGCTTCGAAGTCGGAGGCACCATCTACCCTGTCGCTATCAAGTAAGTTTTAGCTGCTATTCGTCATCATTTCAGCCATAGGAACGTCCACTGCCGGACAAAGGCCTCACTCAAGAATTTCCATAACGACGGTTCTGCGCTTCCCGCATCCAGGTTCTTCCTTGCTTCAGCAGATCGTCGGTCCACCTAGTGGGAGGCTTGCTACGTTTTCCGGCCCGTGGTCGCCACTCAAGAACTTTTCTGCCCCCAACAGCCATCAGCTCTACGTGTTATGTGCCCCGCTCACTGCCACTTGATTTTAGCAATTCTTCATGAGTGAGAAGTCAGAGTAACGCCCGTTTTTACAAACGACGCTTGCTTATGTGAAGCAGCAAATTTAACGCTGTGTTGAATAGAGCTCTGTGATTGGTTCGTTTCACCCTGTGCGTCCATGCGCACTGTGAGACCTCATATTGTGAATACGGACTTGAGAAACCGTCTTAAAAAAGGAAGAGGTTACTAATCCAACCATGTTTTTTTAAATTACAGATACGACCCTCGCTTCGGCGACGCATTTTGGAACAGTTCACGTCACGGCATGCTGCACTATTTACTCAACATGATGACGTCATGGGCGATTGTGTGCGACGTGTGGTATCTACCAGCCATGCATCGAGCGCGAGATGAATCTGCAGTAGACTTCGCGAATAGAGTAAAGGCGGCGGTCGCAAGGCGCGGTGGCCTGGTTGATTTACAGTGGTGAGTTGTTGACTGGCATCTATGATATTTGAGAATGCTGATTCTCAACCTCTTTCTTTCTTTCCCCATGTCTTACTCGCCCTCTCACATGTGCTCTCCCTCGCACTGGTGCTTCGATATCTCTCGTTGTCTCTGCCAACATTACTCTTACCTTTTCGAGCCCCTTAAATTTTTTCTCTATAACTGTTCCTGTCCCTCTCTTCCTCCTACCATAATTATCCCCCCCCCCATCCCCCTTACGCTCTCCACACCTATCTCACACTCGCTCGCTCTTTCTTTTTCACACATGCTTCCTTTCCTCTCTTACTAACTCCGTCACTCTCCTGGGCCACGAGGAAAAGCTAAAGCCTGGTCTGTGAGCACGTAGAATTTTGTCCAATACCCTAAGCTACCCATCCTTATCGCTCGCGCGTAATTATTTTGCTGTCGCGACTGTGTGACGGGCGCCCCGCAGTGAGTGTGCGAGCGCGACAGCAACATAATTACGCGCGAGCGATAAGGATGGGTAGCTTAGGGTCATTGGACAAAATTCTACGTGCTCACGGACCAGGCTTTAGTACCTATCGCTACAATTTACAAGATGAACTTAAATCATAATTATTGTTACAGGGACGGCCAACTAAAGCGAATGAAGGCGAAAAAAGAATGGCGGGAGCTACAACAGGAGGAATTCAGTAAACGGTTAAAAGGCGAGTAGAACCGCGCGACGATACAGCGGAGCTGTGACACGCCGTGCGGAGCTGTGACAGTACGCGGTGCAACGCTGTGACATCACGTGACGAGGAACTGTTACAGTAACAGTGACATGACGTGTCGAAGATTTGACGGTGACCTGGACCTGTTATAATAACAGTGTCGCTGTGAAATCACGTAACGGGGAACTGACAGTGACCCGTACCTGTTATAGTGACGTGGAGCTGTTACAGTATGTGTGACAGTGACGCGGATCTGTGACGAGAAGTGTAACGGTGACATGGAGCTGTAACGACGTCACGTGGAACTGTGTCAGTGACGCGCAGCTGTGACAGAACGTCACGTGAACTGCGGAGCTACCACAATACGTGTTGCGGACTGTGACTGTACGCGGCAGTGTAACAGTGCGTTATTCTGTGACTAAGTGATTTAGTGTTGTGACTTTACCGGACGCCATATTGGATTGAAGTTTATTTATAGACGCTATGGCGAGGGATTTTATGGAGAGCATTCTGTTTAAGACACTGGTTTTAGCATCATCAAGCTAAGAAACTTACAAAAGATTGTGAAAGGAGTTGATTTCTAAATTGTGTCAATTGACAATTTAAAAAAGTTTAAACTTTAAAGTACATAATGTTTATATCCGTTGTCTGGTACCCATAGTACAAGCTTTGCTTAGTTTGGGACTAGATGGCGCAATCGGAATAAAAATGTCACAACATGAACCGACACACGCCTGTTAGAGTTCAAAATGTAATGGCGGTCACTTAAATGCTAGATCTAGCTTGTTCACCATAAAATCGCTCGTTAAAGTTTATTTATTTGTAGGTTAGGAAGAAGTCTTAAAAACTGCCTTTAGTTGTAATGTTTTTATTTTGCGCCGAAAATGTTTTTTTTTTTCAAAAAAATCTTTTTTGTGCAATCTTGAGTTACGCCACTATTTGTGATGATGACAATTTATCATTTTGTGATTTTTAGTGGCAATAAAATCTAATTCTTTTTAAAGTAAGTAAGTAAGCCACGATAGCCGAACGGTAAAGGAGTCGGACTGGCCGACTCGTGATCCGGGGAACGCGGGTTCGGTCCCCGCCGCCGCTCGACTATTGTAGTGAGCTCACTCGTGATACAAGCATATTTAGCTTAGTACGAGGGGCTAACGGGAATATTAGTAATTTGTGTAACAATAACAAGTTACTATCTTTAATAAAAAAGGTTATCAGTAAAATATCATAAAATATTTTTATTTCTTACATTTTCGGTGCAAAGTATACTATGAAATTTCTATTCAAATATTCGTGAATGTAAATTCAATATAAGCCTTCTGTTCAGTGTAAATCTATTGAAAAAAATAAGGCAATATAGTTGTCACCTTTCTTGGAACCTTATTGCATTGTCTTAAGGTTAAAAACGTTTTTTACTTGCTACGCCTCTTAAAGGTATACTATAATTGTGATTCGATTGGCCTATTTGAAATCGTTTAAAAAAATCCTGTCCTTTTTTAACTCTTAAAAATCGTCTAAAGCGGCACAACTGAAAAAAGTAGTTTTCGAAAATAATATAGCATTTAATAAATTAATGTTGTATTTTTAAGCATTTACTCTGCACAATTATGTAATGTGCTATAAATTTTTTTTATAAATATATTACTCAATTTTTCCATTTTTTGAGTTGTGCCACTTTTGCTTATGAAACTGGCGAACTGCAAGGCAAGAATGTCAAGAGTTCGACTCCCAGTGAAGTCAAGCAACGTTCTGGAGCTGATTGCGGGGCAAATTGTGATTATTTATTGTTTAGACATAGATTTTTTTACGGGAGCTTTAATTTTCAATATGGCGTCTCCTTGGACGATGAGTGATGGACGGATGACGCTGGGTCGTTGGATCGTTTTTAAAGGGAATATATTTCCCACCATATTTTTAACCTTATTCGCTTGTCTCAAGGCCCTTAAACAATGATTTTGAACATTATTATTCTCTTTCTTTTCTTTTTTACAAATTCTTTTAAAAAAATCTTACAAATCGTCATTTTTTTCAAAGAAAATAAACAAAACATTGCTCTTTAGAAGCCTTTACATGTCTCATAATCTTTTTGTCCTACCAGCGCTTCGAGACCAACATTTGGCAAGTGCTGAGAAGAAGCACCGCATCAAACTCAGTCACTACTGTCTACCGGTTTAAATAAATAAAAAAAAAACGGTAAATCTAATTCAAATAAAACAAAGTCGTGTTAGTTAATTTATAATTTAAGAACGGCTGGACCGATTTTAATGAGATATTAATAACCAAAACGATGCCAACGATCCAGTGTCAAAATATCAGCAAGGTTTTGTAGTCAGCGGCGATTAGTACTAAATTCAATGACCAATCATCATCACCAGTGGCCTAATTCACGTATTTTGACAGTCAAGATCTCGCTGACGTTCTGAAGTCGTCCCATTGAAAAACAGTCCTAAATCCGTATTCACAAGGGTCATTTTGATAGAACGATTACTCGATAGGATCGCAACTCAGTGTTTTGTTGTCGTTGAAGTTTTGTTACGTGAATAAGGCTACAGGTCATTTAGTCCCTCTACATTTTCTGCATACATGTAATTCAGATGCCAATGCAAAATAATGATGTCATAGAGCTGGTCTGATGATGGAGCCAGAAGGTGGCCATAGAAACTGACGAAACGATGGAACCCTATCGAGTTTGGGTTCGTTTGATCTCGTTCAAGTACTCTGGTCTTGTGATATCCAGATTCTGATCTGATGATGGAGCCGAAGATGGCCATCATAAAAGCTTGTTTTAAGATATTATTAATTATGAGGGGGTCAAAAGTGGCTCCAAATGGTTCGTGTAATATGGCACGGTGCTGCTCGCCAGTTCTGTTACTTGAACTTGGCTTGATACGCTACCGCGTGTCTAAAGTCGCGTGTAATAATATTGCTGTCGCGCTCGCACACTCACTGCGGCCGCCCGTCGCACAGTCGCGACAGCAATATAATTACGCGCGAGCGATAAGGATGGGTAGCTTGGGGTCATTGGACGAAATTCTATCTGCTCGGCGACCGGACTTTAGATCAATTTATTTTGATTGATTTGGTCATTGACATTTGTCGTTTTAGACGCCGCTGACCACGAGGTCTTGGTACGGATGTGTAAGCGTACCCTAAAGCTGTATTCACATTGTTACGAGGCAAATGTTCCGTATCAGTGTGAATGCACCTTAATGAAGTGTGAAGCAATAAATATATTTTTGGATTGCTCATCTGTGATGGAAATATTGTGGAACGATGAATTTGATTATTGTAATAAATGTTGTATTATATTCTTGAAGACAATTTTATTGTTATATTTGTCCACCTTCCTCCCTTTCAAGCTATACTAGTCCAACGGTGTCGGCATCTGTCATTTTTGTAAAGGTGACTGACTGACTGACTGACTGACATAGTGATCTATCAACGCACAGCCCAAACCACTGGACGGATCGGGCTGAAATTTGGCATGCAGGTAGGCGGTTATCACCATAGCTGGGCACCGTTAATCAAATAGTTAACTTCGTTAATCGTTAATAAAAAAATTAACTTCGTTAAACGTTGAAACGTTACATTTCGCAAGATTTAACGCAAGTTAACGTTAATCGTTAATCCGTTAACACATAATAATAAAACGAAAAAAATAATTGTATTCAAGGTTCAAATAATTTCGAAAGATTGTACCTATCGCGCATGGAATTAATTCCTCTTTTATGTTTGCGCTACAAGCTTTCGAAATTGGCTCCGACTCTATCTGGCAGAATCTCGTTACGCAGAAACTCATTTGGCATAACTCACTTGGCATAATCTTCTTTAACCGAATATTTATAAGGCATAAACATTGTCAAAAATAATCATCGTTTGGTAGAATGTTTATATACCCGAATTTTCAATGGCATACTTTTAAGATAGCAGAATTTTATTTGGCATAATTTCGATTAGCATAATGTTTCTTTAGCACCATGATAATTTGGCATCATTATTTAATGATATTCCAATGGTGGAATACGGCTAACATTTAGAGTGCCTACCCAACTTTTGGGTTTGCGTGTTTTTTTAGTAAATAGAGTCCAGCCTAAGACGTCCCTTTCTTAGTGGAAGATCGGCATGATCTACTTAGTCTTCAAATGTACCAACGAAGGTCATTTTAAAAAACTTGTTGGACAACAAAGCTATAGGTTAGGTTAGGTTAGACTTGCGCGACCGCGGCAGCGGCCGCCGAGCGCTAAGTCTAGAATCGCATACTTAAATAGTTGATTTCCAATAAAAACTACCCAAAAAACGCAACTTAACCTCAAAAGGACAGTGCCAGGGTCTGGACCAAGTGCTGCCCAGAATGAAACCATAGTGCATTTTGTTATTCAGGCCAATACTAATTTATAAACCGGAGCGCACTGAAATCTATCCCTGGAGTTAAGAGAAAAAAAGAGTTTTGTTTTGAATTATTTACATACAAAATATCATCGATGTATACGTACTACGCATAAGATTTCGCGATTTTGGCATTAAATAACACTCGCTATGTTGAACTTAGCCATACTGCATCCGTACACCTTACTTTAGTGCGACTTAGACATTCTTTATAAACGATCTAGCGCTGTTTTAATTGTTTGGTAAGTTGATAGAAATTAATTATTTCCAAAAATGAAGCAAGAAGTTTTAGTTCTATATCATTGCAAAAAATAAATTTATTAGTGTATTACAATCGATTATTGGAGTTATTAAGCTAAAACTTCTTGCTCCATTTTGGAAATAATTAATTTCTGTCAAGTAACCAAACTACTGTAATAGCGCTTGATCGCTTATAAAGAATGTCGAAGTCGTACTAAAGTAAGGTGTACGGATGCAGTATGGTTAAGTTCAACATATCGCGTGTTATTTAATGCCACAATCGCGAAATCTTATGCTTAGTACGTATACATCGATGATATTTTGTATGTAAATAATTCAAAACAAAACTCTTTTTTACAAGCTTTTTTTTCTCTTAACTCCAGGGATAGATTTCAGTGCGCTCCGGTTTATAAATTAGTTTTGGCCTGAGGAACAAAATGCACTATGGTTTCATTCTGGGCAGCACTTGGTCCAACTTCCATACATGGATTGGCACTGTCCTTTCATTTTCAGTTTTTTCAGAAACTAAGTTTCTGATCTCCCCCATTCACAGGGGGAGTTCCCCTACCTCCCTCTCTCCCACCACCTCATCCCTACAACCCTTAATAATGCGATTGGGGAATAAACATTTTACCTTTAATAGTATGCCAAAAGACTATTCTGACTAAGAACTTTCTGCGATGTGATGGTTCTGCTTTTTAATTATTCGGGATACTAAAATTATGCCTAAAGATGATTCTACCTTACAAAATTATTAGTTTTGAATGTATACCAAATGAGTGTATGCCTAACGAATTTCTGCGTAAAGAAGATTATGCCATCCGTTGTTATGCATAGTAAAATTATGATTAAAAAAGTTCTGCGAAAAAAGGTAGAACCTTCGAAATTATAGTACAACTGCATTTCAGAATAAAA